CCAACCCCCACACAGCCCCCTCTGCCTCCACCCGCCGGCTGCCCCGAACAGGACAAATGCGCCGCATTAAATATGGAAGGCAATTTGGTGAGGGTGGCATTCGCCTGCGCCACCCACACCAGCACTGCTTTACCTGCTCGCACACATGCACTCACACGCCTCCCCCTCCCTTCCCTTCCCGCTCGCTTTCAAACACCCAACAAAATTGGAGTTATCCTACCGTCCTGAAAATTCATGAAAGAATCTCGAATTTCAAGAAAAACGTTTTGCGGTGGAGTGAATTTGCTTTATCTTCAGAAAAATTCACTACGTTCTTACTTTGGCGCGTTTTTGTGGGTTTGTTGTTGCGTTGTGCCGTTGTAACGCTCGGGGGGTACGTCGAACTTCCCCCCTCTCCCCTCCCACCCCTTTGCCGTGGACCGCGAGAGCAGCGGCTGCTGATTTCCACGGGGATGTGTGTGCCGGTGTGTGCCCTTTCTTCTCCATTGCATGGCTTGACGTACAAACATACGCGCGCTTACGTGCTTCCGGCTTCACTCAGTTAGCAGGCATGATTTTTTCGCGGCAGAAAGGGAATGAGAGGGGAAGGGAAGAGAGGGTTAGAGAAAGAGGAGAGAGAGAGAGGGGGGGGGGATAGGTGAGAGGGAGAGAGATAGGGGCGAGGATGCGCTACGCATATCTTTCGAAAACGAGACAAGTGTCAACAGTGCATGGGTAGGGAGTGGATTGTAGGGGGTTGGTGCTGAGTCAACACGCTGTTGCTGATCTGTTGGTCCAGCGGCTCAGCTTCAGAGCTGCACGCGCCGGCGCGGCCCTGCGCCGCCCGGCCCCGGAGGCTGCACCGCTGTCTGCTCCCTATCCTATGTTTGCTCGGCGTCGGCAAGTTTGCCGGCGGTGCTCTCACAGTGTGATCAAACCTCGTCGTGGTCCCATTGTACCCATACTGGTCGCATTCTGGCCGCCTTGTGGTCATACTATACTCACACGTCCGAGAGGCTGGCGCTGTACGGCTGCAGGGCGTCCTTCCGCAGGACTTCCATCCCGAGGGAGTTCTCGATAACCCTGTGAACGAAAGGAAATAGAACAAACTGTAAATGCTGCTCGGCTCGAAACATATTATTACCTCTCGTTATTGCTCATACAGTTAAACATTCTGTACCCAGAAACAGGACCCATACAGATCGTCCTTACTACGGTCAAAATCTGTTCGATTAGTCGACCCAGATCGTAATTTGAGGGACAAAGACTTGACCGCGCTTGAAAACAACTTTCCCCCAGTATGAGGAACAGTCCAGCAAACAGGATCGCACTGTTTCAAAATTGACCAGATCACCCTGCAGTTAATTTACTGTTGTAATAATTTTTATTTTTAACAGTGTTTTGCTCTTTGTAGTCCGTCCGTTTAATGGTCGGGTCGCGTGGCGAGCTCACACACTCACATCCTCCTTCCTTTGGCAGTGACAATAAACAAACAATGGCAGGCGCTTTTCAAGGCTAATGAGTGTGGCTTTCAAGTCTAATGAGTCAAGAGGGCCGGTGGTGGTGATCGTTCATACGCGCGGCGTACAAAGACACCATAAGCCCGGTGGTGGACGCCATGGGTGGCCCTGAAAGCGGTATCAAATGAACTATCCGACACGCATCCCTCACCTCACGCCACCCCGCCCC